ACTAATTCCTAATGTATATTATAGGTGTGAAAATTGTAATGAGTTTATGACATGACTTCCTGCAATTAGATGTGTAAAGCAATCTATTTTATTTTTAGTATTACTAGAAGAGTTTTCTTAGTAGAATCTTCTGTGTGTGTCTCTCTGAAAAGCATATTCAGTAACTAGTTATTCATGGAACAGTCCTTTATTAGTGGTGTCAGCTTAGGATTTCCTGGAGTAGGTTTGTGGGTGATTGGAGATCTCTACCAGGAATGCTATTTACTTAATTAAATTTCAGATTCTGCTTTTAGATTTCTTGGCTCATGGATTTCAGTTAAGGATAGTTGTCTTTTGCTTATGTATTTTTACTTATTTATGACTTTTCAAAATTTCTCTAGTTGGCCTTCTTCATCAGATTAGTAGTTTTCTACAAAGCTTTAGAGAATTCTGAGCAGGCAGATAGAGAGTTTAATGGAGTCAGATGGACTTTCATATGCATGTTTAGTTCACTTAAACATTTCCTGACTTTGTTTCTACAGAAACCGAATCTTCTGTAGAGAGTTTAATGGAGTCAGATGGACTTTCATATGCATGTTTATTTCACTTAAACATTTCCTGACTTTGTTTCTACAGAAACCGAATCTTCTGTTTTCTGCTTATGTTCTCTGATAATGACAAAGATCTGTAAAGCATAGTGTATGCCTTTGAGTTATTTGTTATACATTTTTTTTATCATGTGATCATTTTTTAATCGATTCTTTGGGAATTTCTCACCATGTACCCTAGTCCCCTCATTTCCCTGTCCCTCCATATCTACCTTCACCCTTGTAGTGTCCCTCTCCCAAAGGAAAACTGAAAAAGAAATAAAATAAGAAATAAATGAAAATATAAGTAAGAATATTAATTAAACAAAAACAAAAAACCTCTTTACTCCTGTGCGTTTTATGACTCTCCGTTGTCTCTTTATTCATCTTAGTGCTGCTCTATATCATGCACTGTACCCTTTTGTCCACACAGATTTACTTGCAAATGTTCATTGTGTAATATGTTGTTGGTCATATTCAAGCTCTCTGGCTTCTGTTACACCATCAATACTGGACCATCACCTAAATTCCTCTTGGATATCCTGCTTTTGCTTTGAGTCATGAAGATCCTGTGGCTCTGCAGGACCAGCCCCTTCACATGCTCTAGCAGGTCATAGATGGGATAGAGGTGGAATAATGCCATCTCAAAGCTCTGGAATTATGCCTGGATGGTAGCTGAGTTGGTCAGTCTTGTTGTCTGGGACCATCCCTCTCAGGTGAGGGGTGAAGCCAGCTCTCTTATGCTCATGGTGAGGGGTGGGGCCAGCCTTCTCTAATGGAGATGGAAGCTCTGTAGTGCCAGGGTCATGGGAGGGGTGTCAGCTCTCCCATGAGATGGGGGTGTCACTCCCCAGGCCAGGGAGGGGTGAATCTACCTCAGCAATGTCCTCTTACTTCAACACATGGTTCAACCCGTGGTTTACATGGGCCTCTGTGGTATCACGAGACATCAACAGACATCAACACAGACCCCAGTTATAGCAGGACCATGGACCTAGTCATGGCCATCAGCATCAGTTTGGGCCAGATGTCACCATTGCCCTGGGTGGTAGCACAGGCCTCTCATATTGGTATGGCCCAGCAGCAGCATGGTCCCTGGTGGTGGCCTAGACAGGGTGGGGGGAGGAGTAGTCATATGGCCTTCCATTGTAACAGGAGCCATGAACATCAACTTTGAACCTGGCTGTGGTAGAGCTACAGATCCAGGCATGGCCCCTGGCCAGAGCCCACACATCACTATGGCTCTGGGTGGCAGCATAGGCCACCCCAGTCTGCATGGCCCTGTTGACAGCATGGCCCTTGAGCACCAATGTGACCTCAGGTGTTAGCCCAGACCCCGGGCATTTATGCCCAGCCTTCAGTGGTAACAGGAGCTATGGACATCGACACAGATGTTGGCTGTAGTAGGACCATGAACCCAGATATGGCCCTCAGCAGCAGCTTGTCCTGGAAGACACCATAGCCCCAGGTTGCAGCACAGGCCACTGAGATCAGTCTGGCTGTAGCAGCAGCTTGTCCCTTGAACTCCAGCATGGCCATAGGTGGCAGCCCAGAATGTGGGCATCCTTGTGGCCTTTGGTGGCAACATGGGCCATGGACATCAACACAGACCCATGGCCCTGGGTGGGAACACAGGCCACTCAGGCATCACCCCTGCTCCAGGTTGGATTATTATTATTATTATTTTTGGGGGGGGAGTTGAGGCAGGGTTTCTCTGTGGCTTTGGGGGCTGTTCTGGAACTAGCTCTCGTAGACCAGGCTGGTCTCGAACTCATAGAGATCTGCCTGCCTCTGCCTCCTGAGTGCTGGTATTAAAGTTGTGCACCACCATTGCCTGGCCTGACTATTATTATTTTTGTAATCAAAAGTATTTTTAGATAATCCTAGGAAATATACAATTCCATCTATTTGGGTTTTACTTAGCTTTTTGTTTGTTTGAAGTCAGGGTTTCTCTGTGTAGCCCTGGCTGTCCTGTAATTATCTCTGAAGACCATGCTGGCCTCAAACTCAGAGATTTTCCTGCCTCTGTCTCTCTAGTGCTGGTGTGAGCCACCACCACCTGGCCTTACTTACCTTTCTTAAAAATGATTATTGTTTTGGGAGTTACTGGAACACCCCACACAACTCTAGGGGAGGTATCCTACACTTAGAACTAAGTTTTTTATTTAGCAACCTATGGCTTTTTGGAAAACCATTATATCCTGTGTAGGGGAACTCCATTTAAACTCCCTACATGAAGAAAAACATATGAAGCTTATAAAATAGTAGGTTTCCATATGATTTCAAATATTTCTCATGTTATCATTCTCCCTGTCCCCTCCCCTGCCTTACCCCTTTGTCTCTCTCTATTTAAACCTTCCTGTCCATTGTTTTCCCCTTTCCCTCTGTATCACCAGTGTTCTACCACCCCATCTCCCTTTGATTTGTTAAGCACATGTTTAATATATATACATAAACTCATTCTGTAATTTCTCCACTGTTAACTATTACATCTCATCTGTATGGAAATTCTGAAGCCATAGAGTTGTCCTTTCCAGTTATTAGTGCTCACACAGTGAAGAGAACTTCCTGGGACAATCTTTTTGATGTGTATCCCATAAATGGAACAGTTGCTCTTTGTTCCAGCTGACTGGACTGTTTCCAAGACTGACTTCCTCTCTGCTCAGTCCATCATTATGTCTTTCAGTCTCGATTTTGTCTTCATCCCTTGGACCTTCTCCAAGATGAGCAGTTTCTAAGCATCTTAGGTGTAGTGATCCCACATCCCCCAAGTATTTTACTAGATTCTAAAAGTATCAGTTAGGAAGGGTGGCATTAGGATAGGCATACAAACCGCTTTAACTATGCCTTTACAAAAAGAAGTTTGTAAAATGAGACACTAATTATAGCAAACAATAAAAAAAAACTAAGGTACAGCTTTTAAATCAGTGCTTTTCAAGTTATTGATGTAAGGCCAGATTTTTAATTTCCAGTCTCATAATAACAGGGTCTTTACAGCTAAAACATTTGCCAAATGTTTGGCTCATATGCTTTGAAAGCATTATCAGATTACGTCTACAAAGGTTCCGAAGTAGCCACTCTCAATTTCTATACCTATAATAGAACAGTATTAGTAAATGGTCACTCACTGGTTGGTTGATGTCACTTTGAATAATGGTGTTGATCCTAAAAACTGAGCTTTGAAGCTTGGAAAAGTAAATGATTTGCTTAATATTGTATAACTGTTAAGTAGTTTAATATAGACTTATTCTAGTCAAACCATAATTTTGTCATGTCTGAGACAATGTTTATTATTAATGTATAAAAATAAGAACTTTGCTTCTGAGATTGAAGTCCCTGGGTAGTTTGACTTTCTGCATATTGGATTTCTGATATGATCCACTTTTAGAATCAAGGAAAAGTCAAGGCAGATACAAGTAAAATAACAAAATAAGAAAAAAAAACATTGAGCAACAATTAAAATTATTAACAATGTATTCTATTTGTTTCATACAATTAAAGTAATGGATTATTTGGAGGAAGTTTGAGGAGATAAAACCTGTGAAATTGTCAGGGACAGTGTTGATGAATGGTTTATAGGTATAATAGCCTTTGCGTTTTATTTGTTGGACAGTGGGAAAGATATACTAGAGACCTGGTTAATTTTTAGCAGAGATAAATTTTGCTGCTTTCTTTATAAATATTTTAAGATATGATTTATAAAGATATACATAGGTTTATGAAATATGCTAGTTGTGACATCATAGCCGGGTTTCCTTTGAGTAATGGCTTAGATGGTAGAAAAACACAGAACTATGATGAAGTGATTGAGATTAGTGTTAGTTGTGGTTGGAAATACATCATCACTGTTTCGGTGTCAAAAATGTAACATTTGAGCCAGTAACAAAACTATGTGCTTGACTGTAGCCATGGCTTTGGTTGCAACACTTGTTCATTGTTTTAACCTTGGACATGTTGCTTAGCCTCCATCAATCTTAGCTTCCTCTTTATAAAACAGAATTAAAACAGTGCTTTCCTTCCAGGACCATTGTGAAGTTTAGAAACAGCCATCGGTATAGCTCTCTGTCTGTCTCTGTCTGTCTCTGTCTCTGTCTCTGTCTCTCTCTCTCTCTCTCTGTCTGTCTCTCTCTCTCTCTGTCTCTCTCTCTCTCTCTCTCTCTCTCTGTGTGTGTGTGTGTGTGTGTAGTCCTGCATACTATAAATGTGCATTTACTGAGCAAATGTACTTTGAATAAAGACTTTTACTGCCTATGCTATCATGATTAGAAATCATTTCATAAAATGTGTTTAACACTAATGAGAAAATGGCTTTAGAATACCAACAGAGTAATGGTTGGTATATATAAGGTCACCACTTATAATTTACTTTCGTTTTTAGTTTATTGGGACTAAAGGATTTTACTTATGTTTAACTTAGTGTTTTCTCTTTTATAGTTTATCAGAGAAGATATGAAGTATAAAGATGCTACAAATAAGCATAGTCATCTGCACAGAGAAGATAAGCACATAACTGTTGAGGATTTGTGGAAACAGTGGAAAACATCAGAAGGTAAGACTGAAGTGGTCTGGAGCCTTGGCCTGTCAGCTTCTGCCCTGCTTGGCACTGACAGTCCTACTAATTGCATACAATTTTAAAGAACTACTATAAGATCATAATTCTGTGAGAATATTTGAATTAAAAATTTCTTAGATCCATTAAATTACAGGCTATTTTTAGATAATTTTATATTCTGTACTAGACCAAATAAGATAATATCTGTTTGAGCTTATTGTGTAAGCTATTAAATTATATTCTTATAAATGTTTCATCACATTTTTTTAAAAGGAAACTGAAGCTTTCTTTTTAGTTGTGAATAATGTCTAAAGTCTTCAGGAGCCCAGGACTTTTAAGCTTTTCCTGAAGGCCTCTGTGAACCCTTCTAATGCTGTAGTCAGCCTTGTGCCTCAAGGCTGTGTTCCAAGACCTCCAGAAGAAAACATCCTGTGCATGTTGTTTTCCTGTATATATACTTCTTCAAGGAAGTATAACATATAAGTTGGGTACCGTAAGATTAATAGCAAATAATAAATAGCAAAGTAGAGCAATTATAACAATGTTCTATAAATAAAAGTTCTGTGATAAGGTCCTTTTTACCTGTCACAGAGCAGGTAGCATATACTGTGTGGATACTCTGGACAAAGGAATAATTTGAGTTCCTGCCAGAAAAGCGTAATATTTTGTTATACTACTTAGAACATTCTAGAAATTTCCATCAACATTTTTCTCATTGAGAAGGAATGTTGGTTACTGAAACTATAAAGAAGTAAAGCTATAGATGAAGGACTCCTGAAAAGTTGCAGGGTAAAATTTAGTAATTTGTATATTATTTCTTTTCTGTTTCCACGTTGTCTAGCTATTTTGTGGGCAATAATTTTGTACAGCACAGAAAGGTATGACCTATCCTCACACTAATGCTAGCAAGGTACTAAAATTTAAGCAATTTAAAAAGTTCATTTAGTTTATTTTGTTTTTTAGTATCAGTTAACCTAACTATTCCTTTTCTAGTATTCCTATTTTATAAATGCCAAATGGTTGTGTATAGCACGTTTTTTTTTCTCTAAAAGTTTGAATGATACTAAAAATATGAAGAGACTTTTGTAAAAATATAAATTAATTACTAGTTGATTAGCAGTGATAACATCTAGAAATGGCAAAATACAAAGGAGGGCGTGTAACTGGAGAACTGGCTAGGGACCCTCTGGAGGAAGGGCTGTCTCATTCTGGTGGAATCTACCAGGTCACAGACTCTGTATTGCTGATTGTCACATATGGAATCTTTTTTCTTGGGAGAAAAATATTATCAAGGCAAAAAGGAGATTTCTTATTATTTTTACTTATGTAGATTGTTGTAGAGTTATAGTCAGTCTTGGTATTTTACAAAAGGCCAGTCTTTCATTGTCTTTTCAGTAGAGGTCTACAAGTGTCTCTGAAACATGTCAAAGGAATGATTGCATTTGTGGTGGGAATTTTATTGTTCCTCATTATAGTTGTGTCCTGTGTCAACTATTCTTCACCTAGTAGAGTAATTTACTTAAATATAAATCTGAGCTGCTCAACATACTAAAGTGGCTCAGAGAAAAAAAGCCAATACAAATCTTCACAAAGCATTCTAAGCTAGAGGTGTGCACCCAAACCCACACCTCAGTCATTATCACCTCTTTTACCTTTTCTATTGGTCTGTCTCCTTCACTTGCTACTCCATCCAAACTAGACTGGTTACTTCCTGTTTCACAGTGTGCAGATACAGATGTCCTTTCAGCTAGCTCCCTTATCTCCTTCTTTCCAGTCCTTATTAAGGGCTAGTCTCCTATTGTGATCTTCTTCCTTTCTGCTTGCTTTTCCAGAGCACACAGGTTTGATTCCCAGTGCCCACATGGCCTCTCGTAACCATCCATAAGTCTAGTTCTAGGGGATACCATATCTTTTTCTGGCTTCTGAAGATACCCCAGATGCACATGTAATGCACAGAATACATGCAGGCCAGACACCTCTACATATAAGATAAAAAAAAATAATAAAAGTGGTTAACTTACAGAATGTGACTCTTCTGTAATATAAATGAAATGTTTTGTGACACAGTAGATGGCAAGTACTATCTCTGTAGTGCTGTATAAACTAAAATGTTCAGCTATGCTTAAAGGTTTTTTTTTTAATAGGTTGAGTAGATATGTAAAAATTTAGTAAAGTTTAGCTTAAAGTGTCTTAAATTATCTTTAATTAAGTAAGTGAAGAGATTTAGGCATTTTATAATTGTTATTTTCTAGTGTAAATAAACTTAAATAGAAAAATGATCTTGGATATTTTCTTTCTGTTTATGACAGTAAAAAATTCCTGGCCATAGGCCTTGAATTCTTAAAATTAAGACTCATTATAAATTGTTTCTCTGCATAGATCCTTTTTATGACGAGGTTTTTCTTCTGGGTGTGTTAGTGTGGGTGGATTTCTAAATATTGATAAAAGCTACTGGCCTTTTCTAGTTGTTCACTGTTGCTTTTTACATTGAGTCTGAATTGGAAAACATAGATGGCCTGAATACATAGTGTTTGGCGATATTGTCAGAGCTACTCAAAACATAAAACTTGGCGATCCAGGAACATTTTAGTGGTATCCAGCAACAGAATACTATGTCTATTTACAGTGTGCATGGCAGTCACTAGTAGGATCCAAGGAAGTGTCAAGCCATTTCTTCAAGGAGTGTTAACAGCATTTTTTATATATACAAATGAAAAAAGTAGATAGTGTGTAAGAATGCTTGGTTAAATACTATGTAGATGGTGGTGTTATAGGAATTTAGTAATATGGACAGATTTATTCTAGGGATTGAATTAATATTGTGAAAGTCATATATTTTCTTAGAAATAAGAAAGGGATATACAGATTAATACATTTAGCACAAGTAAACGAGTCTTTTAAAATGGCACATTTAAGTGTTAAATTCTTTGAATAAGCAAGCACAGTTTATAAACCAGACATGTAATTTCTTTTTAAGAGATGACTCACAGGACTGAGGAGATACTCAGTGGTTAAGAGCATTTGCTGCTCTTATGTGTATGTGATAGGTCACCAAATATCTCAGTTCTGTGGTAAGGGTGAATACTATCAACTACATCTAGAAAGAAGGTTGTTCATAATCAGAGGTAAAGTGCTTAGAGCAGTGCTGAGCACCAAAACAAATGCTCAGTGGATATCTGTTCCTATTATTGTTTCTGTGAGGCAAATGTGACCATGGTAAGTTAAGCAATGTTGGAGTGCCGTACAAGATTCTGTCCTTATACCAGTGCCGATGAACCCCAAAGTTGTCTGAAGGAAGCTCTTGGTTTGTATGTGGTCTCAGTAGCAAAGACAAAGGTATTCTTGGAGGATTGCAGTTATGAGTAGCAGTGTTTACCGAGTATGTAGGATATAGCAGTTCATGTAGCATTTTTGTCATCACCTCTAAATATTAGATATTATTGAAACTCCTAAGAAATCCTTGTAGTAGATAAGAATTTGTAGAAATATACAGGCAATAAAATTGTTACCATTGTGTGGATAAAATGTGTATTTAAGTGGGAAGAGTGGAACATCATGGATTCTACAAATGTTTTACAGGAGGACTTGGAAACTTTGCCCCTGTATTTAGAGGGTATTCAGAGGGGTTTTGTTTTTGTGGTTTTTATTTGTTTGCTTGTTTGTTTCTTATGATAGAACATATTGGCTTTGAGGGTATCCATTAAACTGGCTCACACAGTAGGAGTATTTCATAAGTGCTAATTAGAGTAAAGCATTGTCCCAGACTAAGATACTCCCATATAGAATGCTTCTTAGTTCTTGAACTAGCCATGGTCTGTTAGTGGAGAAAGAATGATTAACAGGTAGTTAATGGGATGTTCGACAATCGGCTGTTGAGCCTGTATAAAAGGAACTGTGGGATAGATAGGAAGAGGCCTGCCAGCAGAGGTTAAGTAAGGTGAGTAGGGTTGCATTCCATGATATTTACCCTGTCACCCTTAACTGGAAGTTTCTGCTGGATCAATAGTTCTGAGGGCGTTAGTAATGAATACAGCATATTTAAAGACAAGACAGTTTTTTAGTAAGCTGTCTAGCTCATCATACTGCTTGGCAGATCAGGTTTTAATATTTTTAATCCTGTATGCAATGCTGTTAGTTTTAGAAGCTGTTGTCAGTAAAAACCATCACTGTAAGTTTGGGTTTTCATTGCACATGGAAAGCACCTTAGACAAGGAAGGCCTATTCCCCAAGATAGAGTCCAGTTTCAGAACTGACAGTGCCATCCTTTATTTGTACTGCTAACAAAAGATTTTTAGTATTCAAAGTTGCCTCTGTGTAAAGAAAGGTGACATAATGATGTTGCTGGTTCACTCTGTCCACCAACGTTCAGGGGGATCAATATGGGTCTTGTTAGAAAAGTGGCACATCTATTTCATAATCAGTCCACATACCAGGTGAACAGTTGTATGTGCTGGATATGGTGATCCAGAATTAGGGCTGGGTAAGAGGATCACAGGTTCCAGGTTTGGATTATGACGTGAGAGTTTAGCTTAAAAACAAAACAAAACCAACAAAAACAAAACCCATAAAACCCTGCCCTTCATGTAATGTATATTCTTTATTCTTTTTTTTTTCAGACAGAGCCTATCCTGGCACTCGCTCTGGAGACCAGGCTGGCCTCGAACTCACATCTTTATTCTTTTATAACCATAATTTTCTTTTTATCATAAAATCCTAAACTCAGAGCACTCTCAATAAGAAGTTTCTGATATTTATTTAGAAAAGGTGTCATTATGTAGCTCAGTCAGGCCTTGGATTTTCAGTTCCTCTGCCTCACCTCCCAAGCACTGGGATTGCAGGTATGTGCTGACTTGATTACCATCCTATATTAGCATTAGTTCCTGTGTTTCTTCATTCCAGAATGTTCTGTCTGAACTGTTTTTGATTTTGCTATTTTTTTATTTCCTTTCCCCTTGACATAACTATTTTTACTTCATGGCATTGGAGTTTGGGAGACT